AACAACTGCTCGTCAGTTTCAGTGTGATGTTCAAACAGCTGTAAACGAAGAAACAATATAACGCGAAAATCTGCATCTGGTATGATGTATTGGAAGCATTTAAGACAGGAGCCATAAAATGACCATTATACGATTCATTGCTTTTCAGCGTTTAATCATTACGTTTCAGTGTTTACTTATGTCTGATTGCTTTTATATGTTTGTAGACTGATCTTCATTTGCACTGTAAAGAGTGGGATGAGGTTCTTTGCACTGAGGATTGGAACCCAGATGACATAGTTGCGAGGCTTCCGGAGTTCTTGCAGTTTTTGAAACAAGTCCAAAGTTATCTTGCACGTGAAATGACAGAATGAAAATATTCTTAAGGATTGTTATTTTTATATTAACTTTTTTAAAATTTGTTTTTAAATTTTTGTGAAATGTTGAAAACATCGTTCGAAAATTTCGTTGCTATCAAGTCTACCCGTTATCGGAAAAATTCGGTTTCCGTCAAATGCAGCCCCACGAATTTGACTGTTGTTTACATACTTCTTCATGACTACAACAGGCTCGAAAATAAATTTTTTATATTTAAAGTAAATATATCATGTTTCCGGCTCCCCACTTTTGAAAGCGCAGGTTTTGTCAACTTACAGGCCGCTCGTCTCAGTGTATGAGAGGGTTTAAACTTAGGAAAGCCTTTATTGATACGTGTTTTTTTATATGACGCGTGTGACAGAGAAGTCTTTTCATCCTCAGACAAAGTTAAAGTTTTGAGAACGGAACCAGTTTTCCGAGACTGAAGCCCAAGTAAAACTGTTACCTTCGAGAAATATAATTATCATCTCTGAGGAAATATATACGGGTACGTTCCTAGGCAAGAGTAGGCTTTTGCGTTTTTTTTTTTATCATACAGATAATTTCACAGCGCGCATGATAAAATGTTTAGGAACAGCTCATCGTCAAAAACGTTTATTTCGTGGGCTGTGGACTTTTCAGTGGTCATTTGTTCGACTTTGTGAACGATCCATTTTTTATCTCCTGTCATAAAAATCGCATTTAACGTAAAGTTTGAACATTGGAGAATCTCACTAGATATTTCCTTTTAAGTGGGGTATTTACGATCCTGTGAAGAATAAACACTTATCGCGAGCAAAATGTGACTCATGGTACCGTTTAAATGATTTCAGTATGCAGGGTTGTAAAGTAGCATATTTATTTA